TTCAATGTGGTTCTCTGATTCCAAGCAACTCCAAGTTGTATGTTTTTATTTCTGCAGCAATGTGGAATAGTCTTCCGGTCTTCCACAATGTTCGAACGTTCCGTGTACCTAAAAGAGTGGTTGCTGTGGTTGTCAGAAGAGGCATCGGCCTCGTGATTATTTATTATTTGTTTTGGTTAGCGTTTTCTTGGTGGGATGAGGTCGCCAATCCCATGCCTAACCCTCCTCGTTTATCTGAGCTTGGGACCGGCAGTAGCCTCGAAAGTTCTACAGGCGGAGTTATATACATATATGTCAAATCATTTCGTTATAAATATTGATAGAACAATGAGAAAACGGAGTTCATCTGAGAAATGTAATTTATTTGCATAGTGCAATGCGAACAATCAGGTCACACATATACGTATCAAAGCATTTCATATAAAAATTCTTAAAGGTTGAATCAATGAAAGTTTGAATAAACTGAAGGTGAAAATCGTTTATAAAGGAGATAGGAAATTGTTGCATCACCTTTGGCCGCAAAATGTCTTAAAGATTACCGGGACGAATTTAGATAAGTTAATTGGTTGAAGGCGATGTTGGTTGATAGTGCCCACCGATTTCACGGCCCTCAAATAAAGCAAAGGAACATCTGGACATCTAAATATTTTATGAATTTAAAAATCCTCCAAAGTAGAACAGAAATTGTGATCTTCAAACCTGACAAACAGTCATGGTGTAGTTCTTCCCTTCCCTTGTTTTACTATTCGGTTAAGACTACTGAAACAACTACTTTTATTATGTACAGAAAAATTTCATTTCACGTTTCAAGATGAACATTCTAGACAATTTAGTGATGTTGTTATTGGTTAGTCCTTTGGAGCTTCTCTTAGCTGATGTATGTATGAGTGAGCTCATTAGTGAGGTAGGTGACTATGTACAGGACATGTACATGGATGATATATTGGTCATATGTGATAAAAATTTCGATGTTACTCAGTTACTATATAAACTCAATTGTATACAGAATGATATCGATATACCTATGAGTCGAAGGGTGGAGAAACTATTAGGCGGTCAGTTTATAGGACGCCTATCTGGACTGGACAATATTTAAATTTTCTCTGTTTCTGTCCGTTGCAACACAAGCGAGACTTGGTTAGAAATGCCTTTTCAATAGGATTGAAAGAGTATAGACTACAGATATTATATTCTTTCCATACTATGTTAATTTTGTCTCTCCTTTATCTATAATTATCACCTTCAGTTTATTCGAACTCTTATTGATTTAACCTTTAATAATTTTCATATGAAATGTCTTCATAAGTAAATGTATGGTCAGATTGTTGGAATAACACAGTGTGAATAAATCCCATTTTTCAGATCAACTCTGTCTCCTCATTGTTCTATCAAAATGTAAAACGGGAACTACTTGCTCTAAATTTCACGACACATACATTATTAGATTTAAAGTGTAAATCTTTTCTTGTCGATTTCTAGGAAGTGATTGATTGCTTGTTGAACTATTCATACCTTCATCTTGTCATTTTACGCCTACTTTTTACTACCGGGTAAAGGTGTTTTGATCTTTTCAATTATAAGTACAAATGTTATAGATTTTTCTAGTCCCACTTAATGCTTGGTATCATCTCACTGCTGATTGATATGAAGATGTATTTTACTAGTTTTTTGAGGTAATCTAAAATCTCTGGCTCCTAGTCCAATCTCTCTAGCTTGCAATCTGTCTCAGTTATTAAACTCAGCTTTAAACCACATATGTGAAAACATTTTTCGTTATATATTGATTTAACGAATGAATTACCATAATAGATTGACTAAGTCTCAGTTTATGTATTCGATTTTCAGCTGTATTTTACGTTTGGTGCATTTATATTAACTAGCCACCTAAATTGAAATAGATAGACTGAACTAGTGGTTACTGATTGAGAGTATAGTGCTTTAGTCACTAAACCGCTGATCTTCATTGTAGACATTCATTTAAACATAAATTAAGAGTCAAACATATTCAATGGTTTTACATTACGAATTTTAGTTATAAACACGAGAATTCTATTTTATTTTGTATAATGTGAATGCGTTAATCAGTTTTCCATATCGACTACTATCAGGTATATTGTTCAGTTAATTTTGTCAATATATAATGTGAAAATAATATGCAAATTCGAATTCTAGAACAACTCACAAAGTCACATACCAGACGAATGTACGGGTAGAAATGAAACTCATAGCTTACATAACTGACTTGTAATCCCATATGAGGTCAGTTACGAATCATTGATTTACAAAAATATCATAATGGATGTCACCTTAATACTGCAATATACTCTTTACATTTTAGAAATTGAAATATGGAACAAGGTTTGCGATTATGTTGGAGTTTACTTCCTACATTATTGACATGGATAATAAAATATATAATTCGCCTAATTTTGCTACCAATTATCTTGATATTTCTTCTTGGTCGTGCTGTGAGATACTTCAACAAAAGGTCCGAACTGCGTAGTAAATTATTACGTAAAAGAGAATTAATAACTAAACGAATGGATCATTTGAAAGAACATCTTTCAACCACGAAAAATACATCAACTGTTGATTTGCTATCAATTACAGATCTAAATTTAGATACTATTCAAGAATGCTTGATTGAAGGCAAATTTACACCAGTTGACTTGTTGCATGCTTATCAAATGAAAGCCTTACAGTTATATGACTCAGGAAATTCAGGAATATGTGAATTTGTGGATGAAGCAGAGCAGTTAGCTGTTGAACTTGTTAAATCGAATCGTTTGCCTACAAATAAACAAACTTTGGTTGGTATTCCTGTTAGTCTAAAGGAACTGATTCCGGTCAAGGGATATGATGTAACATATGGTTTGATGAAACGATGTGATATACCTTCAGATGAAGACTGTTGCATAGTGAAAGTACTTAGACATGAAGGAGCAATACCTTTTGTTCTGACAGCAACTTCACAAACAGCTCTATCTATGAGTGGAATAAATCCAGTGTTTGGTGATATGTCCAATCCTCATTCACAAGAACACGAACCAGGCGGGAGTTCTAGCGGTGAAGGTGTACTTGTAGGACTAAGTGGATCACCAATTGGAATCGGGACAGATTTAGCTGGAAGCATACGAATCCCTTCGGCGTTCTGTGGTCTTGCTGGCTTGAAACCAACAACTAATCGTATAAGCAGCAAAGGTTTGGCGAAGATCGGTCATAAAAAATCAGTGGTATTAAGAATATGTCCTGGACCAATGGGTAGACGAGTGGATGATCTAGCCAAATTAATGCGTACACTTCTAACAACAAAAATGTTTCAGATGGACCCATCTGTGCCACCATTACTGTTTAATGATATAATCTACGAGGGTGTAGATAAGCCGAAACTGAAGATCGGATATTATGTAAATCTGGAGGATCCATTAATTATGACTAGCGTTCCATGTGTTCGTAGAATAGTGAATGAGTCGGTGGACATTTTAAGACAACGTGGTCATATACTGCTACCGTTTCAGCCACCTAATATAAAATGGGCTTATGCATTAAGTATGAAAGCAATTTCTGTTGATACAAAATATTATTTTAAAAAGGCCTTGTTCGCAGAACCATTAAATGAACATACTAAATTTCTTAATCTTCTGATCGGTACCCCACACTGGGTGAAAGTTCTTCTAGACAAACTAATGGAAATCATCTTTGATAAATCAGCCGCAGTTGCGAGTTTTTTGGATGGTCCTAGAGGCGAAGCAGAAACATTAAATTTAATCTCCGATATCGAATTGTATCGACATGAATTTCAGAGAGCTATGGAAGAAGCTGGTAATTTAGATGCGATCATTTGTCCAGTTTTCCCTTTTCCAGCATTTCCAAAATCAGCTAAATCTCTATTTGTTTCACCAGCTATTGCTTACACAGTTTTGTTTAACATGTTAGATTATCCAGCTGGAACGGTTCCAATGGGATATGTTAATAAGGTAGATGTGGAAAACTCAAAAGTGATGGCTGAAGAATACAAGAAAGCTGGAAATCGATATCTCAATCAGGTATTTAAGTATCAGGAAACAAGTGAGGGCTTGCCGATCGGTGTACAAGTTATTAGTAAATCATGGCAAGAGGAGCGTGTACTGCGTATTATGAAAGAATTAGAGACATCAAGAACACTAACTGAATAGTTGTAACTAATATTTCTAACCTACTTTCTTCGTTTGACTTTGCTGGACCATAGTTTATCACAATGATGTAAAACATATTTTATCATTGAGTCTACACAGAAGTATAAAATTTCATTGTTATAAAAACACAAATTTTGGAATCTACTTACCTGTTTCATGAAAATGTAAAAAAATCGTGCATGTTATACCACTGTTTTATTATCGTTCGTACAATATTTAAAATAATATGCAATCAAAAAAGGAATTTATTATTAACCAATTTAAAACAGTTTATTTACAATTTTGATTTTGTTTAAATGATAGTTATTGTCAGTAGTTGCCACGATGAAAATTGTACTGTGTATTTTTCAATACACTAGCATAACTTTAACCAGTAGTTGTCCTTGAACTTCAATTGTATCTCTCTCAATATCTTATTATTTATCACAATGCTTGTGTCACATCTTGCTTTCCATTGTTCATAACATTCCTGGAATTTCTTCAAAACTAAACATTTCAATTGCATCTCTCTGATAAATGACTGTTTCAATTGTTTTACTGTTTATGTATGATATTCAATCCAGTAATTTTGAAATGCATGTTTTTTTCACCCTAATAATTGTGTATCGTTTGCATGAAATTGTCATTTTATTGATTCCTGCTGAAACTAAATCCTCATATAAGCATAGATTTTATACTGATGTTTGTTGTCTCGATTAATCATATTTTTTGAGCGTTAGATATCTTACACAATATTCTAAGACCGTATCAGATCATTTTTAAGAAAACAAGAATGTATGAAGTCATAAAATAATAAGTTCTCATTTACTCATACCCGGAAGTTGTGTCTTGGAATTTCGTTACGCACATTTATTTTTAATATCTGTCATTCACAGATGCTGGAGATGATAGGTCTCGAAAATCGCTTGGTAGACCTCTTAATTTTGTAATTTATTTTTGCCTCAAAACAACTCTCAATTACCTTCAGTTCGTATTTCTTAGCAGGAAAGACCTTACACTACACTGGTTAGTTCTCTGTCTTAGTGTGATATTGTGTAAGTCTTCTTAGGAGACATTTTGTAATGCATAAATGACGCTTCAGTAAAACGCTTATTAATTTTTTCGCTCGTTGCTGCTTGTCGATTAAATGAGGTTACCACTGACTTGGGATTCTTGCTCTAGTTCGTTGGGCTGGATCACAGAGAAGAGATAAGCTTGCTTGTTGTTGCATCACTGGTTTACGTTCCGTTCGCCAATATCTAGTCATATCTTAATTATCGTCAGCATAGCAACAAGAGATTTGCACGCAATATTTAAAGCCTGATTGTACTTGTCCCGAATTTCAATGAATGTCAATGATGGTTGTATTTCCATTAATCCATGCAAGTTGTAGACAAGGAATTGAGACGTCATGTGCGATATTTGAATACTGACATAAGCCTGCGCGATGATGATTCAAGGAAATATTTAAAATGTGTGAAGATAGAGATGGTTTGAAATATCGGGTGTTCTGGTTGGATCTATTTTGAACACTGTGATTATATGTTTACTCATCGAATAATGTGTAATGGAAACTAAACAGTTACCTAACTGCATGTTTGCAAGAATGATTAAAAAGCAACCTTCGTCGACTCAAGAATAACGAGTTGTTGCATAACTTATAACATGAAAGATGAACAAATAACCTTCACGGCGGTATTGCAGTTAAAACAAGCTGATCTGAGCCATCTGAAGGACTTTGCTATGTATGGAGGGATTTTGCAGGCCAGTGTAGTATCCATTTTGAAGGCTTTGTTTTGGGAAAAATCCCTCCATGTACATATATGTAATATGTTCTCACTGACTCTTTCTGTTCAACATTTTGGTACTCTATTTGATCTCATTTTGTGATGTTAATATTTGTATCTTGTTATAGTTTATGATTTTTGTACCTTTATTGGAGTTTCTACGTTTTCTACTGAACAGTATTATGTTGTCTAAATTGATACTTAATCAAGGCGTCAGCCATATCGGAATCGATACCTTGGTGAGTGAAACGTTCGTCTGGATTCGGAGGGTGCAATTTTAGACCTAAACGGAAGCATTCTTCCAGAATCGGAAACACATTGTGTTAATTTGGAGGTAGAGCAATGTAATATTGTTTGGGTAATGATCTGTAAATTTTAATTAATAATAGGACCATTTCTTGCTCAGATAAATTGCTTTCTTTCTGGAGTAACTGGGAGAGGCGCGTGTCTAAACTTCTAGGACTGTTCTTCCAATTCAGAAGCCGCTCTTAACCTAAAAGTTAATAAAAAGCTTGATGCGAATTCAGTATGATGAGTTTATTTCTAATAATCGTTTATGGCAAATCGGGTAATAAACTACTTCGCGGGATAACAAATGTAATCGCGATACTTGATTCTAGTTGAAGAAGTATATATAATGCTAGACTCGTGATATCAAATTGATATCGACTTCAGAGGGCATACAAACGGCTAACGTCCACGCAGGAGACGTGCGAAGACGAGAATGAGGATAAAGCGCTTGGCGCGCGAGAGATAGTCGTTAGTACAGATAAACAAGAGGTGGATAATATAACAATCATTGTCAGAATTAAGTACAATAATAATGTTTATATTTCAGCAATTGTGTTTTCTTTGTAAAAGTATACCACTACAAGTTGATGCAGACATGCATGGCAATTCGAAGCGTGAAAGCAAAGCAAAGCTGACTGAGAAGGCGACCAAGCCAACTCCTTGTGATAAAACATGACTCAGTATTTATAGCCAGAGATAGTAAGCGGTGCACATACAGTTTCGAATAGAAATAACAAAGATAAAGTCAAATGGTTGAAAAGATGAAAAGGTGTGTGTGTTACTCGGGAAGAATGGATTTGTTTATTTATCCCAAGTGGGACAAGCACTGTGGGTCCGACATAAAAGTACACGTACTTCAGGTAATCGAAATAATGCACTTCCAGCATTCTGTACATGAATTTGATTACTTTTCAAGAGGAATCGTAAGGAAATGCGGTACACCCTACATAGAGCTAAAATATTTCTCCTTGAACTTGTAGCTGATTTGTATTATCGAGTATATTCGGGTGGGCTCTCGTTCATTCAGTGGGTGGATACTGTTGAATCGTCACCTAAAATTCCCTTTCAGGCTCTCTCCTCCATCGTATTGTTTTATTCATTTGGTAAGTTCGAGTGCTTGACAGTTATTAGTCCGTAACAGACTTTTGTAGATAGTTTTAGACGACTGGAATCCAATATCTTTTTCACGAGCTAGTGTAAACCAATTTGATTTCTTCGCGCTCGATTCTTGTTCTTTCGGTACGGTTTCAGGTGTTCGGTAATGTCCAATGGATGGAGGTCTAGCCACTCGACTGTCTAATTCTAGTCAGTTGACAGTTGGTTGTGAATTTGTATGTCTCGGGATTTGAATGAAAACGTTTGTTTCAGGGCAGTAGGGTTTCTGGATACTAGCAGCCATCACATTACCAAACCGGAGATCAGTTAGTTGAAATGTGGAGAGTAATAAGGGTAATAAGGATAAAGTTCTGATGCTAATATGAATAAAATTTCACAACTGAGTAATATATAGATGAATTCGGTTTGTTGATTGGTAGTGAAGATTGTGAGAGAGGACCATAGTGTAAGCAAGAGAGGACAAAGATGAGAGGCGAGATAGATTAAATAAGTGATCTGAGGAGATGGCAATGGTAACAACTAGCAGGTATCGAGATATTCATCATGAACAGCTTGTCCAAGAGAGAGATGATAGTCCGTGTATGAGTACGTGATTATCAAGTCTCTTCTTAAAGCAGTCCACTTAGGGGGCTGTAACTACCTCGACTGGGAGAGCATTTCAAGTTGCGACGACTCGCAATGAGAAAAAGTGTGCACGAATCTGAGTGTTTGCTCTTTGATGTGCAATCTTTCGAGGATTGCCTCTAGGGGAGTGGTGGTGATGCATCGGTAAGTTGCTCACATTGGGATGATTTGGCGTGTTTAATATGGCGTACGCCATAATCAGATCACCTCTGATTCTACTGTAGCTCAGTGGAAATAATCCCAAGAGCGTGAATCTATCGTCGTAAGGTTTATTTGTCAACCCTATCAAGCGTTTGGTTGCCCCTCTCTGCACTCGACCCAAGAGATTAATGTCCCTTTTAAGCAGAAGGGGTGCGATGACGTTATAAACCTCGAGGTGTGGGCGCGCGTACGTCTTAAATAGGGTCAAGAATGATTGCGGGGTGATGGCACCAAGCTGTCTTCGCATAAAGTGAAGAGTCGCATTTGCCTTGGCTGCGTACCCTACATAGTTTAGACTGGTGTGGAGGCTTTCTGTGGTTATTAAACCGAGATCGCACTCTGAGGAGACGTTAGGAAGCGGACTTCCATTGAGGGTATAGATCGTTTGCGTAGTGTGAGGCAGAATATGCATGACGTGGCACTTTGGTTGGTTGAGTTTTAAACCGTTTTTCACTGCCTATTTCTCAATAGATGTAAGGTAGAGCCGAATCCTGTTCGCCTCTAATAGGCCCACAGATCTTTGCATCGTCTGCGTGGATCAATGCCGGTGAGCTAACTGAGTCTAACAGGTCGTTAATAAATACCAGAAAGAGAAGTGGGCCTAGGATGGTCCCCTGTGAAACTCCCGATGTGGATACTCGCCAGCTCACATGCACTCTATTTACCTTGGTACGAAACTTTGTATTCTCAAGGTAGTTTCTGAGCCAAGATACGAGTGTGGCGGTGAAGCCCATTTCCACAACCTTTTCGATTAGGCGTGCGTGAGGTACTGTGCCAAAGGCTTTTGCAAAGTCGAGAAATATTACGTGCACCGGTACTTTTCGGTCTAAACAGGATGTCCAACTGTCCCATGCAATGAGAAGACTAGATGCACACGACCTGCCTTTCTGAAACCCGTTCTGAGTTTCATGGAGGATTTTATTCTTATCCATGTACTACCTCATTGTTCGTCCACCATATTTAGAAAGGGTTTGCACTTTCGATACGTGGCGGTTTCGTGTGGAAGGAGGACTGGTCGGCTAACGGGCAATTGTCGGGCGGAAGGGTTGACGGACAGGATGCCACCAACGAAGCTGGAGTTGTAATAAAAGTTACGTGTCAAGTTCAGTGCTCGAGTTTGCATGCAAAACATAGACTGAGCGTGGGTTATCAGGCCAGCCTTCACCAAGATTAACTGACGTCGACGGTATCAACGGGGTGATGGTCGTAGATATGGGCTCAGGATACAGAGTGGAAGAAAAAGAGAAAAGCGAAGCATGCATGTAGTACTAGGATACGGTACTACCACGTGACCGTTGTTCCCTGGGTTGTTATTAGAGAAAACGAACAGGTAGGCGTACGCGGTGACCGGAAAGCGAGACGGTAGTCTCGTGCATTCCTCGTGAGCCGTCAATCCCATTCAAAATCAAGGCCGCGTGGTCTGCTGATCTGGACGTGTGTTACGGGAGAAATGAAAACATTTGGCTGATTAAAACCTCTATATAAATATCATTAATTTCACTGTGTTTTTTGGGTATATTTGTGTTACTTAACTTATGGACTTGTTTGATTTATTATTTTCGGACATTTTGGTTTCTGTTTGTCTTGGTTTGCTAATTGCGAGTTTTTGCTCCAGGAACCTATAAAATTGAAGGTTTTTGTAGTTATTATAATTATTGTTGTTAGAACGACATTTTGATCGACTATTTGTGAATTGCGAATAAACTTTGGTGCCTAACTTTGGAGTTTGGTTCTTTTGTTAATTTGGATTCGTGAATTGCAAATAGATCAACATACTGTACTTCAATAACGGGAAGGAGCAAAACTTGGACGTAACAATAAGAGACCGGATTCTCATCCATAGATAGTGCAGATGACGCATACTCTTGACTGGGAAGTGAGAATGAGGTCTCTGCTTTGTCTAGCGTGGGACCCGAAGTAGCTTTAAGGATCCCGCTAGTAGGTTTGATAGGTCTAGCATTGAGTCTCGGATTAGCAAGTAGGGCACTGTCTTGGACGTATGCTGGCTTGAGACGATCAATGCTGACTACCTCGACGCCGCCATGTCGAGCGGAGGTCTTTTGGAGACGACAAATCACGTGAGAAGGCCTTTCGTAAGGTTGTTGCAAAGATTTGCTTACCAAATCGACTCGTATCAAGACATGCGAACAGGGTAGATAACTGTCGAGGGAGAACTGCCTGTCGATGTTGTAATCGAGTTGACACCGGAGGCAGTGCTCGCATAAATATAGACAATCGTTGGACGTAGTCTGATTTATTGAAGTTATCACTGCTCCGTGGTGTGAAAAATCCTCCAGGCAGACGCAATGTCGTGCCGTATACCAATTCAGCAGCGAAAGATTGAATATCTGCCATTAAGCTCGTCCTGATGTCTAGAAGAACGAGAGGTAGGGTTTCCTACCAATTATTGTTTTTGTGTGCTTGAAGAGCACTTTTAAGTTGACGATGAAACCGTCCCACTGAACCATTCGAAGCTGGGTGGTAGGCGATAGTGCCTATGCGCTCCGTACCGAGCAGCCAGGTTAGCGAGGTGAATAATTCGAACTCAAACTGTTGTCCTCGGTCAGTTTTGACAGTCGAGAGACAACGGTACAGAGCTATCTATCCTTCTACTGTTTCCGCCGTAATAGAAGTGATAGGAATACCTTCGGGACGCCTTGTGAAACGATCGATGCACGTGAGTATGTGATCATACACATGCGATGGTCGCAATGGTCCTACAATGTCAATATGGACATGATCGAAGCGAGCATCATGCGTAGCAAATGTGCCTATGGGGGCAGCTACGTGCCAGTGCACTTTTGATCGTTTACACGGTAAGCATCGCTTTACCCACATACGGACATCTTTATTCATGGGATGTCAGACGTATCGTGCAGCGATGAGACGTAATGTGGCTGCGATACCTGGATGGGGCAATCCATGTAGGCCATAGAAGACGAGACGACGATGAGCAGAAGGTACGATGGGTCGGGGTAAACCAGTAGAATTTTCACACAGGATAGTACCTGAGGTGGTAGCTGGTGGTACTTCCTGGCACTGAAGGGATGTCGATTGTTGTGCTTCTGTACAAGAGGGATCATTTGCTTGGGTAGCGGCCATATCAAGAAGATCGAGCACTGGTAAGGTAACTGTATTTACTTGAATACGTGAGAGAGCATCGGCAACATAGTTCGACTCGCCTTTAATATGACGAAGGTCTGTCGTGAA